CGAAAGGAGAAAGGTCGAGGGTGAAAAGATTCGACGAAAATATCCCGAAAGGGTTCCTGTAAGTACCTCATCAAAAATGTTAACTAGTTTATCAATCGACGAAAAAAATTTATTTTCTTTCCCAATGCAAGCTGCATCGTTTCGAAAAATCATCGATTTATCGTTATAATAGACCATTGTAATTCGTCATTAACCGATTTAGTCCGTATCCCGAGAATCTCCTGGCCTGGAATGAGCCAAGGTCGGCTTTCTACGTCGTATACGCTCATATTTCGAGGTGATGCGAAGTTTTTTCCTTTGATCTAGTAAATGATTAAATTTACTATTCGTATCGAATTTCTTTATATACTCGCTTTGCCATTGCTCGAGTCTATTGATCATACTATGCTCATACTTATAATTTTTTATTAATAAAATCAAACGAAAAGAAAAATAATTTTGTTCATCATTCAATTTTTAAGGAATTTCAATATATCGACGATTGTTGTTTTCATACATGAAGTAAAATATTATAAATGTTAACCAACTCTTGCTTCTTTAGAGATTTGGATAAATGTCAAATATATATAATATCAAACATGAATTTGAAGTTGGTTTTTGATCTTGATAATGGGCCAAGTTTTAAACATTTATGGTTCTTGTACTAATGTAGAAAATTTTGATAGGATAATTAAATATTACTTTTTTATTAAAATAAGTTTTATTTCATTATATTATTTCATAACTGAAATTGATGAAAAAATTTGTATTTCATAGGTTATTGTTGAGAAGGCTCCAAAAGCTAAAATTAGTGACTTGGATAAACAAAAATATCTAGTACCATCTGACTTGACCGTGGGACAATTCTACTTTTTAGTCCGTAAACGAATTCACCTTCGTCCGGAAGATGCTCTTTTCTTTTTTGTGAATAATACTATTCCTCCAACAAGTGCTACTATGGGTTCTCTCTATGCGGTAATTATATAATTTCAAGTATGAAGATACAAAAATATATTTATGTTTACTATAATCTAAATTTTTCATAGGAACATCATGAAGAAGATTTCTTTCTCTACATAGCATACAGCGATGAAAATGTGTATGGACATTAAATTCCAAAAGAAAACAGAAGACAACATCCAAACAAAAGAGCAGACAACAAGAATTTGCCATCTACAATAACGTAGTCCTTTTAGAAGCTTTTGGAAGTGTTAGCAAAATTGCATCTTTTAATTATTTTGAATGAAACTTCAAATTCTAGCACCATGTATTAAGTTTGCTTCCTTAAGGTAAATTGGACATGTTTGTCTGCCAAATATACAAACGCTGTATTTTTTTGATTCCATCACTCACCCCTGATCGAAAAAGCTTAGGGAATCAGAATGTCAGAATCAGAGCTATATTATATGGTTTTCTTATCTTGTCTAGCCTGATATTACAAAATTGAAAAAGTTTTAAAAAGAAAACTTTCTTCATATTGAGAAGAATATTTTACTTCACAATTGTTAAAAATATATTTACACATTTTAATGTTTATTTAAAAAACTACTAATATTTAGAATGGCCTTATGAGAAATTCATAATTCTGTGTAGATGTTTTATGTGATATAATTTATTCTTATTTAGGCTAGTATTATTCTATTCACGTGATTCAATATCATTTGACCATAATAAAATGGAAAGAACTTGCTGAACATGTGGTGAGGTCAAAATTTGTTGTAACGGCTGGATGTGGGCCAATAAAAAGAATATAAAAAGAAATTCTGTTAATATAATTATTTCCCTACCCATTAATGACACATTTTTATAATACAGAAACAAATTTACCGTAGCGAGAGAAAGCGATTGAAACTGTAACTTGTTCATAGTTAATATGTTTTCGTAGCGATTCGTTCATTTTTAACGTGTTTTCCTTTGACTGCCTGCTGGGACGGTCAAATAGAAAATACCACCTAGTTAATACTACTCTTTCGGTGAAGGAAGTCTTGAAATAAAATGGAAATAGAGAACAATGAAACAAACATCACAAATACTTCAACTGCCGAAACATATATTGTTTCTGCTTATAATTTAAATCAAGAAGATAGTAATTGGATTGTGACAAATTCCTTCATAATCTTCACTATGCAAACAGGTAAAATTTTTAACTAGATAACATTAAATAATACAATGAAGATTATTTTTTCCGTTATGTAGGTTTCGGTATGTTGGAATCTGGATGTGTTTCTCTAAAAAATGAAGTTAATATTATGATGAAAAACGTAGTGGATATAGTACTCGGCGGTTTAACTTATTGGGCTTTTGGTTTCGCATTAAGTTTTGGAACAAACAGATTTAATAATCCTTTCATCGGTATAGGAGAATTTTTAATAGATCCTTCATTAGAAGATAAATTTATGGGCCCAAAATGTGCTGCATTTCTATTCCAGTTAAGCTTCGCAACTACTTCAACAACTATTGTTAGCGGTGCAATGGCAGAACGGTAATTATACAAAATCATTTATAAATATTCTTTATTTTATTTGGATTTCGTACGATTACAGATGCAATTTTAAAGCATACTGTTTATTTTCTTTCTTAAATACAATCGTATATTGCGTACCAGCGGGATGGTTATGGGGTGATCAGGGTTTCTTAAAAAATATGGGTGCTGTTGATATTGCTGGTTCAGGAGCAGTGCACCTCGTTGGTGGTAGTTCGGGTAAAATATTAACATATTTTTCTTGCGATAATTTGTTCACAAATGTTTAAAATATAATTTTATAATTGCAAGCACTCGCATGTGCCATTATGTTGGGACCAAGATTAGGCAGATATGATAATGGAACTGCTTCATTGCCTCTTGGATGTCCAGTCAATGCGATTATGGGCTTATTTGTACTTTGGTAAAACAAATAATTACATATCATTTGTTTATAGAATTGAATTATCAAATATATTAATATACAGTAATTATATAAGGTGGGGCTGGTTAGCTTTCAATAGTGGTAGTACATATGGTGTTAGTGGGCAGCGATGGCAATATGCTGCTAGAGCAGCAGTTTCTACAATGTTAGCAAGCATGGGAGGTGGATTAGTTGGTTTAGGTTTCAGTCTAAATGGTCCAAATGGTATTGACATTCTAAGTCAAATAAATGGCATCCTTGGTTCACTGGTTGCAGTTACAGGTAAGTTTCAAAATAAAATAATCATTAATATGAACTGAAATATTTCTTATCTTAACAATAACTTTACAATGTCAGTTAGGTGGTTGTTTTCTTTTTAGAGCATGGGAAGCCATATTTGTTGGAATGATTGGTGCTTTTATTACATGTTTCATTATGCCCATCTTAGATAAAATGCATATTGATGATCCAGTTGGAGCCAGTGCTACACATGGTTTTAATCTTTTCTTAAATTTGCTTTTTATTCCTTTTACATCTCTTAAGTTATTGATTGTTTTTCCTATAATATAGGTGCCAGTGGAATTTGGGGTATTATTGCTGTTGGTTTATTTGCAGACAATCCATATCCCCTTGATACTACTAGTGGAAGAAAAGGATTATTTAAAGGTCTATATAATACATATCCATACGACATAATTAAATTATACAAAAGTACTTTTTTTTTATAGGAGGAGGAGGGTATTTATTAGGTGTGCAATGTTTAACAGTTGTATGCTTAGCACTTTGGAGTTTTACAATATCTATCATTTTGCTATGGGTAGATCATATTAAATATTATTTAAAGTATTCTCTTTTATTTAAATATGTTACTTACTATTTCATTTTTCTAGTCTATAAATAAAATAATACCGATTAGAATGAGTGTTCATGATGAACTTCTAGGTGCAGATTTAGTAGAACATCGAATTCGACATACACAGGTTTTTATTTCAACTATTACATATTTATAGTTAAAAAAGTCTATACACTATAAAATTATATACTTCTAGATTGGAATAAGTAGAGCCATGTCTGCTTTTCGACCAATTTCACAAAAACAGGAGTTACGAAATGTGCATCCTGTAGGAATCAATCCTGGTAAGATGCATTTGACTGAAAAATATTACTCATTTAATTATATAAATCGATTTATAACAGGTCACAATTCGTATATCGAAAAATATAATCGTAAATATCATTTAAAGTGCGGAAAACAATTTCTACTTGGAAAAAAAATATCAAAGAGTTCTCAGTTGAATACTATTACTGATTCTGTATTGAACGATGAAAACAAACCGAATTTTGCTTGGATAGATTAGTTTTTAAATGCTTTTTAACAACATAGCGATCGTAAATTTATTAGAAACATATAAATGTACTCATATACACGTTTTGTCGCTTTCACACGTTCCTGTTAAACCATACAATGTACACGCATTCTTTGATAAATAATTAAAATCTTAAATGACTACATGAATAAGAATTATGAATGCTAGTATATAGGGAACAATCCTGTTGAAAGATCACAGACACTGTAAATACACGTAACATCTTGATTAATAGCATGGCACTTATACAGAAATCTCTTCTATTATAAGTTTCAGATAAAATATTGTTATGAAAAGTTATTTGTCGTCTTTATTTATTCAGGACGTGATGTTGGACCTTCCTAATGCTATAATAGGGAGGAATTGCATTTTAAAGATTGTATTACATAGATATCTAGAAAATAACAATTCCTAATTTTTCACCTTATTTAGTATTATCAAATATTGAATCTATATACACGCTTATGCTAATCTCATTGTAAATGAAAACTACAATTTCTGTTGTGATAGCACATGATCTTATTAGATATCGTAGTTGCTTTTAGAAAATGCTTCAGTTTAGATATTAAGTACATTTGTATGTCTAGTTTCATATGTGTAAAAGACATATATTTTTGAAATGAATACACATGTAAAACGCTTGTACAAAATATAGTATAGAAAACAAACTTTTGCTTTCCTAAAATAAATAATTATGGTGAAAATGCATTTTAAAAAATACAAATCTCGTACTTGTTCCAAAAAATACTTGTGTTTTAGCTAAATTTGTTAGCACCTGCAATTTTATGAATAATACATCATGATTATATGTTAGTCACTGCCCATTGAGACACTTCTGTTGGCAATCCAGAATAATTTTTTACAGCTTCCATAACTTGTTGTGAGGTAAGTAAAAATTTGTAATATTGATATTCTTTTTCAACTTTAGAATTCATACCACCCACTGGCAATATAAACTCCAAATTCTGTGGAAATGATACGCATAGTGTTATTATTTACGTTATAATATAATGACAATACTATCTTCCTACCATTTTATAAACCTTACCTTAATATGTTCAAATGCTTTCATAATAACAGGTTTTTGAACAGTCTGTATAGAAGAATTTTGATTAGCAAATTTAATGTAACGATTGTAAATTGCCTCAAAATTAAATGGTTCTCCATCATAAATTTCTGTTTCATGTTTCATTGCTATTATCTAAAATAATAATTTGTTAAAAATATATCCATCCTATAGCAACAGAAGAAACAATAGGTACACTTACTAAACATATTTCTAATACAGACAATCCTTCAAGCATCAACACTTTATCATCTTGAGAAAACATTTTACTTGCTTCTACAAAATCATTTACTTCTAGTCTTTGATGTTTTTCTGATAATGTAGAAACAGCCATTGCCAAAAAATTTCTAAAACTTCTTTCACTTACATCAATCTGATACATTCTTTTTAACAGATTTACCAGAGTGGGGTTACTAACTAAACTTTTTATATACTCATTCCATACAGATCCAAATTGTGGATCTATCGTGCAATCATCATATTGATGTTCTATCCTATTTACATTCTCATCATCAGGAAGGCTTAGAAGATGTTGAAAAAGTTCTAAACGATCATCAAAAGCAGATATTGGTTGTTCTGAGGATGATGTATCCCCAGGAAATAGAAATATTTGCCGATGAGAAAATCTTGATTTAACTCTTTTTTCTAAGAGTTCTATAACATCTAGTCTACAAGTCATTCCTATTACACATATTGGTGCCTAAGCATATAAAAATTTTATTCATTTTGAAATCAATTCCCAATTAATACACAGGGTTATATTTTATACTTACTTGTGCAGATTGAGCAATATCAAATAGATTGTACAATAGAGTTTGATTGTGGTGTTCACAAAATAAATCAAACTCATCTAATATGAATACAACTGGTTTGGAATGCTTCTTATCACCTGATTTTAAGCAATCAAGCAGAAAAGTTAAATTTTCAGCAAATGTGCCAAAAACTTTATCACCAACTGCATTTTCTAATTGCATTTGGCGTGTAGCATCTTTCAGAGCCAATCGATCATCAGTGTGGACAAGACCATGAAGATTCACTATCAATGCATTTTCTTTAAAACTTTTTACATATGATAATTCTTTTAAAATACTGTTTATTAGCTGGAAAAATAAAGTATAAAAATGTAAAGTAATTATTAAAATATTATGATTTTCAAGCAAAGCTAGTAACTCAAAACATACTGTTGTTTTTCCACTACCCCTAGGTCCAATTAATAAAGCAGAATTACTTTCACCCATATCCACAGTTCTTTTTAACAGTTCTAGTATATGCATTCTTTCTTTAACATGATGTCTAAATTTTGTTTCAGGACACATAATTTTACGTTTTAAATATTTCCTCGTTAATAATATCATATTGTCCTGGAAATCAATTGCCATATTTTTTTTCTTGTTCATATTAACTTCTCTGAAACGCGCCAAAAATGTACTGTTAATATCTCGTTAAATTTTTTTTTTCTATGAATTATACTATAAAAGCATAAGAAGTTTATATTTATTTTACTGGTAAAATCATTTAATTTACGATTTCGCTTATATCACAGTTTCATATTTTGAAATACAATTTGACGATCGTGTATCATTCCTGATTAACCTGTTAATTTGAGAAAAGTATATGTATTATACCTTTAAAACATACGTGCTCAAGAACTTAACTTACTTAAATAAATTTGATATCGATCACCCAAACAGAAAATTAAAATAATATTTTCACAGATTTTAAAATACTCAAAAGATGTTAAATGTTCAAACTATAGAAGCACTGAAACCTGGTTGTTTACAAAACAAATATGGAAGACGCAGAATCCCAAACAGATAAGAAAAATTGCACGTTTTTATTCAAAAGAAGAAAAATTCGAAGTACTGCAGCGAGAAAACGTAAAACGGTGAATGATGAAAATGGTATGTACGTTTAAAGAATGTCTGACTTTTTTCTCTAGCTTCAATAGACCATAATTTCATTATATAAACTTGATTAGCAGTCTCTGTAGGTTATGTATACTGTCCATAAATAACAATATTTTTCTCTTACTTTTTAAATAGAGAGCAGTGAAGATGAAACTACGGTAGTTAAAAAGGAAAAGAAGCTGGGTGATAATAATCCTATGAAACAAAGTGTAAATATCAGATAGGACTATAAAGTATTTTTTTGTAATTATGCATAAGCTTGTTTAGTAAAATTTGACAAACATAATATTCAATTAAATTCAAGTTTTAATAAAAGTAGAAACTTGCTATAAATATTAGTGTTTTACAGACTAATACAAGGAGATTAAAAGGTCACCATAAAGAAATTAATAATGATAGCAGTGAAGAAGAAAGTATTACAGTATCATACAAGAGTTCTAGAACTCCTATGCCAGCAGGACCAAGCGACCAAGGAGCTACAGCAATTTTAGAAACAGAGACAGAAAAAGATAAGGATGCTCAAGCATTGTTTGAGAAAGCTCAGAAAATAAATGAAGTATATAAAAAAATGTTATGGTACAAAAATGTTTAAAGATAAAACAACATCAAAAAATATAATGATGGTTTTTTAGGAACTTGAAGGAAAAGAAGATGATAAGATTTATAGAGGCTTAAATAATTATGCTCAATATTATAAGAAGAAAGATACAGCTGCTGGAAATGCTTCCAGTGGTATGGTACGTAAAGGACCAATCAGAGCACCATCTAATCTTAGAGCAACTGTTAGGTGGGATTATCAACCAGATATATGTAAAGATTATAAAGAAACTGGTTTCTGTGGCTTTGGAGGTAAATAAAATTAAAGCCCTTATAATCAATAATATATCAATTATTTACTCAAACATGTAACTGATTTCATTTTTAGATAGTTGTAAATTTCTTCATGATCGCTCAGATTATAAACTGGGTTGGCAACTCGAAAGAGAAGCTGCAACCGGAGAATACAATAATAGTGGGGATGAAGATGACAAAAAATATGAAATCAATAGTGATGAAGAAACATTGCCATTTAAATGTTTTATTTGCCGAAATAGTTTTACCGATCCCGTAGTTACGAAGTATTTATTATAATCCGATTTATCATCCTATTGTTATAATTCTATAACTAAATATAGATTATACAAAATGAATATATCTTTTAGATGCAAACACTATTTCTGTGAAAAATGTGCTTTAGATCATTACAAAAAAAGTACAAGGTGTTACATATGCAATGTGCAAACTAATGGAGTATTCAATCCAGCCAAGGAATTAATTGCACGAACGAAGATGGAGGAAAAAGCAAGAATTGAAGACGACGAAGTTTCTGATGAATAATAAAGCATATATATTTTTTTGATATCGTAGTATTTCTTATCGACCAATTACAATCTTTTACATATAAATTATGAATTTTAAGAACTTCATTAAACTTATAAACTCTTGTAGATTGAAATTTTCGTATCTTAATTTTTATTGCATATACTATGCTTGATCAATTGAATGAAATTGAAATCTTTTCTACGAGATTTAAAAAAATCTTTTTTCTGCATTAAATTTAGATTTATTCATGAATTCCTTTAAAAATATATGTATCTCAAATATTCATTTATACAAAAATTAATTATAATACTAGAAAAGGATTAGATGAAATATAAAGAACTGACAGAGGTAGGTCGACAACCCTTGCTAGCAAAAGGTCTAGATTTGAAAGATCTTAGTGTCTATGAGCCGTTCCACAAACACTCGTCGAGTTGACGTCGAACGAGGGTCGAGGGGAGGTATAGTGGTGGTTTCGCTATATAGGGCGAAGGTGATTCTAGCTGCTCGTAGTTGTTCCCTCAATCAATACACGCGCAGTGTTGTTTGCCTCATACTATGAAAATGTTGCCAAAGTTCCTTGCTTTTCATAAGCATCGAAGAAACGTTTGATACCGAAATGTAAACGTTAGACACTCATTTCAACGGAATATTAATTGGCAAGTGTGAAACTGTGAAAATATAATAAAGTTATAAAACAAAGCAGTTATTGGCGGATAGATTCAAGTGTTCTTGTATTCGTGACTTGCCGTCCTTTCATTGATTTCTAAGGCATCAACGCCGCGCGCAAAAACTCGGAGGTGTAACGTGATTGTCGTATGAACGCTAAAGCCAATATGAAAGTGTGCATTTTTCATAATTAGTCGTAGATAAAAATAAAAAAAAAAACTGATGTGATAGTTTTTTTCAAATGGAAGACCTGTTTTTTGACAATTGCCGGTTTGAAATAGAGCTTCTATCAATAACTGGGACAATATTACATTAATCAAATACTACCACATGTAATTGAATTATGGTTAGTCAAATTCTGTAGTGTAAGTGCATCCATTTATGACTGAATGAAATTTCAGTCGAACGATAATATTTCAATAGTCATTTACCATCAAGTCAATTCTGGGGCACATAATTACTGTGCAACGAGATGACGAGATGATACTACTGAACATGACAAAGAACTTATGCTTCACACACTTGATGATGCGGTAAAAGTGATAAACAACCGTCGCTGTAGTCTTTTTAAAAACAACTGTTACAATAATATTGATAGCGATTACGTATCGAGCCTACAAAATCATCGTGAAATTGTATTATGAGTGCATCCTCATTATATGGGCAACAATAACTTTGATCTTAAATAAAATCATTAAATGAACAATCGACGACTGTCTCGGATTGAATGTGTTAATCGGCGTTGAACGGCAGATCTGGAATAAAGTGATGGGAAAACTTGCCAATAAAAAGAACACGTGGAAGGTGTTACGTTTCACGGAAATCTTCTATTAACCAGGTATGACTAGTATTACATTATATTAGATAGATGAATAATACTATAATACCTCAGCATCTAGTTGCGTTCTTATTGAAATTCAGACATGCATGACAAGAAGTATATACCCCGCGAACCCTGTACACATCTTCTAATTAGCGCTAATCATCAATTAAATACAGTTATCGTGTGCGTATTTAACTCTATACGTATCGTGGCGATCGTCACTGCGCACGACGTCGACGTTTCCACACCAATATTAAAGCAAAGTGAGTAGGGGTGCTTACGCCGAGTCAGAGACCGACCACAGCATCCGACGAACCTCTCGCGAAATTTTCTGTTATGCGTCATAAACGCGACGGAAATTCAACGAGTGCACATTGTAATACATCGTTAAGCGGCCACGTGTGGCTTCTGTTTCCTATCTGTCCTCCACCAACACGACACTCGTATAATCATCTCCGCACCAAGCGATTCTATCCTACTGAGATTCGTGTACTGAAACATTTGGACGACGGTAATCAATTCACCAGAAAATGCACATGCATGTCGTATTACAAGAGGTATGCGATGTAATCTAGGAAGTCAAAAGGAATAAAGACGAACGGGGATGTGAGCTTTTCGATTTTTTATTCTCAATTATTGGTAAGGGCATCGAATGATTAGTTTAATGTAATTTAATATAATTCAAGTTTGTTTTATTTTTATGCAACTCGCACACGACGTGTAATTGGACGTATGTACATTTAGATATATTCTACTTTATCACGAAAGTTGACAAATATTTATCTTTCTCGAACATCTTGTAATCTGAGTGTTCGTTAACTTCCTACTGCATCGTTTTATCACTTGATATTCCAGAAGAAGAATATTTTCTCGTGATAATAGTATATTGTAAAATGTCTAACAAGCATCGAACAAGAGTCTATACTAGAAGGTACACTATTATTTCAGTGATTGAATAATCAGCTGCAGAGAATGAATAAATATCATCTGCATAATATTACGTTCCTTAGTGACGCTTATTCATTATGCAACTATTTTATCACCATATGTATTCGATTTCCAAAAATTATAAATTAATGTTTTGGGCAAGTTTCAGGGACAAAAATTAAACACTTTTAGATTTATATATACAGGGATATTCAATTTTAATTCTTGGAATTACCAAAAATAATAATGTTAAAACTGTGTATAATACGTATTGGGGTTAAACACATTATAGTGTATAAATTTTTCTGAATATTTCTTGTGGACTCTATAAATTTATTATTTATTGATAAGAGAAGTGAATGGAAACAGAAGAACGAAAAATGAATGCGTAGGAGGGGAAATATATCATGTTTGCCATGTTAGAAAAAAAAAGATAGGGGAAAAGCGAGAAAAATGTCAAAGAAGAGACATAAAAGGTTGCGGAAACGTAGACTCCGTTATAGTTAACAATGTCCATCCACCTCATCGATGTTACCACAAGGTTGACACGTGTAGTTGTGTATATTTAAATAAAGCTATGTACAGACCCTATCCACAAGCGTTATTCGTAGGTGTATATGATCGACTTGTATAAGTGAACACGAATCGATAAATTAGCATGTCGACGTGTGTTTCTGATGACATGTACCAAAGCCATGTAACCGTGATAATAAATGCCTACGAAAAATGCATGCTTCGATGCAATCTTTAATGACGTCGTCACATTGACGCAATATAAATATAATTACGTACAAATTAGATTTTCCAAATGATTTTGAAGTACGTCCTTACGTGTCAGCTAATGATCTTTTTAATACTATAAAACTGCAGGAATTATAGAAGCTCGTCCTATTGTTTGCTGAAATATATTTCTATAATAAAAAGAAAAGTATAATAGCTTTTTGCAATTATTAATAACTAATAGCGAACAGAACAATAAGATAACGCTTCTCAAGTATAATAGTAATCAAAGTTGAATAACATTGGATTTAACCGTGATAATAAGGCATTATGAAAGAAAGTCTCAAATTGAGAATTCATACGTTTCGTTGATTTGTTGCCCTTGTTGATAGAGTTAGATTGTAAATTGTTATTAATGATGTTGTAGATGATTTGTGGCAGTGATGCCCTCGTCGGAGGAGGAAAGCCAGTGGCTCGTTGGCAGCGGGGGTGGTCTCGCATCTTCCAGCGGTGGCACGGTATCCGGAACTGGAGAACGCACGTTAAGTATTAGAGGAGGATTATACACTGAGGAGATGACGACTCAACCGTCGAACGCTAACACTGCGGGTGTGAACACGGCTTCAGCCGATTCCGCTGAGCATGATCTCATTGACTCGACCGCCGATGCAACCCTTTTAGCACAGTTTCATGAAGATGCCATCAAACAGGTATGTCGTCTAATTTTACTTTTGTTTTTCCTCAATATGAGTAACTGTGGAAGATTTGAAATCGTTTTGAACGTTACGAAGTTAATAACTTTGATAGATTATTTTGATAAAAATCTTACCTACTCCAGCGCTGATTTACAACTTTAGAGTGCTTATTTAACCTACAACATTAAGTTATATCAATATACTTAAACTCCAATTCGTGTATTGTCAATAATTAATTCTATATATATTCTAAATAATGAATTTATTACCAATCATTATAGAAACTCCCGCGCAACTAAAATTTAAATTAAAGTTGTAAGTAAATTGTGATTATCGAAATACGGGGTAAATAACGTAACTGTATCACTCGAATTTTTCTGTAAACTATTTGTTGTATGAAAAAATGTTTTAAACGAAAGTTGTTTGATATAAAGAGCATGCAATACAATAATTTTTTTATATTTTCACTTTATCATTAATTATTGATCCCATGTACCGTGATAATTTTTTATTTTATTTCCAATAGACATTTCAATGTAATAATCAAATAATGCACATTATAGTTAAAAAACTTAAGGTGACCTTCATATCTTGATAAAGAACGGACAAAACAAATTAATTATTGTGTTGTATGCTCCTCTTTATACCAAATAACATGTATTTGAAATATTTTTTCATATAACAGTTTACAAAAAAATTTGAGTGATATTGCGTGACTCATTCTGTATATTGGGATATCGATTATCGATCGATATTTTCAGAGTCTTTTTTCTAAAGCGCGAAGCAAATAGCAGTCCAATAAACTTATACAAATTTGAATTCTGTATTTACATTGGCTGTTGCAAACCGTTCGACACATCGAAATAAAATATTGAACTTTCGTCAATCGAACAACAAAAACATAACCTATAGTAAATGGCGTCCCTTTTAGTCAAGTTATTTCCTTTAGTTATTTAATTACCTTGTCACTGCTAGTGTTTTAGATTTTTTAATCTTTCGACATGGATAAAGTTTTAGATGAATCAATTGTAAAAACAAAGTATGAGTCACAAGAGATACCAAGCTACCTGAATGATTTTCCAGTAAATATTTTTTTTATAATTTATTTGAAGGTTACATTTATATTTTTACAAATTTTAAATTTACTCTTTCATCATTTGTATCACCTAAATAATTTATATTTAATAAACATCTCTGTGAAATAACTGGTTATTTATTGTGTTGTACCATTAGTGGTATTTGTATGTTATGTGTCATTACTATATAATAAATTATTAACTTGTTAACTGTTTTACAGGCTGGTGTTGGGTACTTCCAAGTGTTAGCTGCTCTATGTACAGGCTTGAGTCTTGCGGCAGATACTGTTGAATTTTTTGTTGTACCATATATTTTACCAAGTGCAGAGGTTGAACTATGTATCGAGGACAATGAAAAAGGATGGCTTAGTAAGTTTTTGTTTTATTCCTTTTATAATGCACTTTTAGATAATTTTTTTCATATTTTTTTATTACAGGCAATATTACTTTAATGGGCCTGGCATTAGGTGGATTATTTTGGGGTGGCTTAGGAGATAGAATTGGTAGACGCAGATCTTTATTATCTGCAATGTCTGTTCATGCTTTATTTAGCGGTGTTGCCACTTTTATACCAACTTATGGTACATTTATGTGTGCTAGATTTTGTTCTGCAATTGGGTAAGAAATTCCTTTTTCTTTTTCATTTAAATATAATTTAAGCTCATTTAAGTAAATTCTACAATTTATTTCATCACAGAGTAGGAGGATCTTTACCATTAGCATTTCCATATCTCGCAGAATGTTGTCCAAGGTTAAGCAGAAGTAGGTGGGTTGGTTTATTAGTAGCAGCAGGAGCATTGGGAGGTGTATATGCAGCTCTTCTGGCATGGGTAGTTGTTCCTACAACTGGAGAAATGGTAGTTCTTGAGAATAAAGAACATTTCAGTGCTTGGCACCGCTTCCTCTTACTTTGTTGTTTACCTGCATTATGTTCTACTGTTGGGCTTATTTTTCTACCAGAAAGTCCAAGATATTTGGTAGAAGCAGGCAGGGATGTGGAAGCAATGATGGTTTACCAGGTATCTTTTTATATCTTTGCCTTTAATTAAAAAATGTGTTAATTCTACTTTTATTCAAGTTACCATATTTTTTATTAGAAAATATACAAGAAAAATAATACACGAAAAGGTGCAACAGGTGCCCAATATCAACTTTCTGAATTAGAGCTTCCAACTAAAAGGCCTCATGGTTTGGCACCTCCATCTCCTACTAATCACACTAGTGTTTTGGCTGATATAATCTATTCTATTGAAATGGTATGGATATATGTATTTTTGACTCTATAGTTTTAAAATATAATATTTAATTTTCATTAAATTTCTAGTTTTGGAACTCCTTCTTGGAATTATTTGTGTCACCTCATTTGCGCGTCACAGTAGTGCTTATAATTATTTGGTCAACCGTATCATTTGGGTATGTATTTTCATTAAACATTTCAATGATCTTTTCTTTTATAATATGGTTTTATTTTACTTCAGACTATACGGTCTTATGGTTTGGTGTCCAGAGTACCTTAAACTTCTTCGTGCTACAGAATATAAAGCTCACACTATAAATATTTCTGGAGAAGAATATAGGGGACGAACATTTAATGGTTCTTTAGAAAATCGTCACTATAAAGATTCAACATTTTTAAATTGCAAGTAAGTAGATACAAGAAAATTAAGTAAATATAAGAAAAGAATATGTATGATATGTATGATGAGCTAGATAGTATAAGAGTACTTATTTTTCAGATTCACTAAACTGGTATTCAGTCATGTAGATTTCGATAATTGTACTTTTCAATCTGTAGAATTCAGTAGCATAAAGTCTAGTAAAACTCATTTTACAGACAGTGTTATTGTACACTCGAAGTATGTATTTGAAATTGTAATATTCGACAATGCTTTTTTTAGATATAAAGTACACGATTTTTTCTGATTTGTAGATTTGTAGATACAGATCTATACGCACAAGCGTTTACGAGATGTATACTGGAAAATAATACGGAGTTAAGTTTAAGGGGACCATGTCCGACTCTTGATTTGGATTATAATATTTATATAGAGGAAGCATTACATGGTCATCTTGTTGCTCAATTGGCTTTCGTGCCTGCTGCCGCTTTAGCAGGACTTGCACTCACTGTGCTTCAACGGCCAAAAATGATTGGTATTTCATTATTTCTGTCGTCAGTAGCTGCTCTGTGTTTGATTCTAGTGGGCACAAATAGTTCCGCGGTACTTGGCTTCGAAGGTGGTTTTATAGCAATTTTTGCCATTGCATGGACGT